TGCGTGTTGCATAAATAACACTAGCCTAAATGATTCATATCTCCTTATAGACTTTATGACAACCAATTTATAAAGGAAACTCACTCTATAAAATCATCAAACGGAATAACAGTGGAAATCAATATCATACCGTAACAACACTACTGTTGGATCAGTGGTTCAGTTTGTACACTATCAAATGTTACTCCGTCCCATTGTCATTAGCTTTGTCATCTGTTAACTCATACTTTACAACACCAAAATGAAGTTTTGAAAGTTCAATTGCTGATTTCCTCCGTACTTATTTCATAACATAGCAATTTGATAAAATTGAGCGTTTTTTTCGAACATGTAGCGTACAAATTATAAACAATAAATGTCAATCGTCCAAAAGTTCAATTTTGATTGATTTTGGCATAATATTTAAAATTATCTTTTAAGAAAACGAAATTTAAAAGAATAAAAAAATGCTTTATTTTGATTAATCATTTTAAAGATGTCGGCTCATGCAAAATGTTTCAAAACTTAAGATTTGCAACAGTGTCTATAACACAAACATTTTAATCTGAATAACATTTTGACTGTATGGAATATAATACATAGACGTCACAATAACTATTTAGTGTCTTCATATATCATATATCTATATTTGTAAGGGACTAAGAAACAGGTGTAATTCGGGCATCAGCGAGCTATTACTTCTGATTCGACCCGAGTACAAATACAGCTGATATTTAAAGACACTTACAGTTTATATGTTTGATGATCTAACTGAAGACCTTATCCACGAATTACCCCCCGAACTTGTAAGCCCTCTAATCTTATACATAACCATGATACTAAAAGGAAATCTTTGGATATTGCATGAACTCAAACAGCTATTTAAAACATTTGCAAGGTATCTCTTACTGAAAACAATATTAGAGACTTATAACTTGATATATCAGTTACTTCGGATGTAAATATACACTTTGAAACATGCACTAAAATAGATATTGATTCTTTGGACTTCAAAAACATTCATACATTTCTAAGAAAGTTTTTCTTTATCTTTAACCAAAAGATATTTGCCTTCGAGGAATAATATGTATCATAGCGAACACATAAACAAATATGTTTAATTGGATTAGATCAGTAATCATGGTTAGACAGTTAATTCCACATACTGTGGATTCATTTATTTTCGTTGATACCAATATTCGTGGATTAAGGAAAACGTACATGTTCGTGGATATTTAATTTCGTGGTTTTAACGAAGTCTGCATACAAGCCTATAGAAAATTTGTTATTCGTTCAACATTTATTTTCGTGGTTCACTTGTACCCACGAAATCCACGAAAATTGGTATCCAACGAATAATAATGAATCCACAGTACATGAATTATTTAAAAGCCACAGTGAACCCCCCGTTTATTATCATTTTTCCCTTAGAAATACATGGATAAAAATAAATGTTCGGCTTTTAGAAATTCACGACCCGGCCGATTATTATCAATTATAAAATCTTCGGCTTTTAAAAATAAAGACCCCGCCGATTATTTTCAATAAAAAAATCCTCGGCTTTTAAAAATCACGACCCACCGATTATTTCAATAATAAAACATTCGACTTTAAAAATCACGACCGGCCGATTATTTTTATAAAATTCAAACCAAAAAATAATATTCGGGACATTCTGCAAGACCCGCCGATTATTATTATTGATCTAATAAAATCTGAACCAAAATAAATCGTTGGGGAATAGCCTAGTTAATTTAGCTCCATACCAATAACTGAATTATATGCTCCAGACTTAGAGTAGGTACATATAGAATATGGTAGGGTTACACTTGATTGTGAGTGTGCATGTTCAAATTGAATTTACCTTAATTGATATTTGTTACCTTCAGCTGTATACACTTATACTGTATATTACAAATCTATTATACTATTTTAAAGAATTAAACCACTGGAATTATGATAGCATATATTGAGACTGTAAAAACATGATTGTTATAATTTATATGATTAAGTTCATAAAGTTTATAAACTTACGTATACAGTCATAAGACTCATGCCATCCATACAATATGAAGTTTTATACATAAACTATAAAATGACGAAATGAGCATGCAGTACTATTTAAACACATAGAAACCTATTTGTAAATATTGTAGAATAAACAAGCATTTTTTTTTAATAAAAACTGAAAGTCCTTTGTAGATTTCCATATGACATATGTACAATAATCCTTTCTATGATTAATACTATAACATCTAGGTAAGTATTGGTTTTTATAATTAACAATAGAATCATGTTGACATACAAATAAAACATAAAAATACCAACAAATTCATAACACAAAAGTAAAAATTAATAAAACATAAAATCTCTAGGTATATTTTGTCAACGCCACATTTCGATTGGAATACGTAAGTTCGATGTCATTAATTTTGTTACCCAACCTCTAATCTGTTCAGATGTTATGACAAAAGCCATTCTGATTCATTAAAATATAACCTAGACCAGTTTTGCTAAATATCGATTCTACAAAATTAATCCATTTAAAAACATAATGACCATGATTCTTCAATGATAACATCAGCCTGTACAAAGCACTACTGAGTTTATTGATATTGTTTACAACTTTACACCAGTACGAACTCATTCTACATTTTACCCGGATTTGCAAAGGAAACATTACCCATTCTTCATACACCATTACATTCGGTGTAGTATTTCGAACCTTTAAAATTCATTTTGCCAAATTTCAAATGCACCTGTTCAATTATTTTCGAATTCTCAAAGCCTCAAAACTTCAGAACCATATAAAAGAGTTTATATATGTTTTAAAGGTCTAACATGTTATTTCTTTTTGCCATGCATTAGAATCAGAATAAAGGATCTGTAGTTGAAGAGTTGCCACCGTCAATTTTGATTTGACGGTGACAACTTTTCAATTACACTACTGTTATTCCTTACTTACACAAACAATATATGATGGTCTGAAAGTATAGATTCTAGGTACTGAAGTTGTTTATCATCCTAATTACGTATCAAAGTTCCCCTTTTTGGTCCTTGTATATTTTTAACCACAACTGTTTATCAATTTTGGATTATATACTTATGACATGGATTGGTACATCCCGCCATAGTGCAATGGTCAATTTTGAGTTTTTGTCTTTCATTTTTGCTGATGTACGTTGTTTATACAATGTTTGCCATTTTGTGTCTCTTTGTTTAAACAGTTATTTTTTTTATTGTGATTAAGATTACATTACAATATTGACGTTTGCCGCACAGGGGTTTAGCTAGACATAGGGCCCGGTTGAGTCCACCATGGTATACATTGGGAGGAACCTGTACCGGGTCAGGAATGAGACATTTACTTTTCCATTCGTTGGAAATGTTTGGGCGTTTAATTTTGCCATTTTATAAAGGAATTTCCGTTTTGAATTGTCCTTGGAGTTCTGTATTTTTTATTTTACTTTTCACTAACATAACCATGTGGCGGGTTAAAATATACAATACGTTATTCACAAATGTAGCACTATGGGTAGAATTACGAAAGTATAGAAAAGAACTCTAAATAACAATCAGAACATGATCTGTTATAATAGTAAGCTACATAACAAAACATAATATGTACTCTAAGAAAGTGTTTAACAATAACGTGAGAATGCTATCAATTACCGTAAGCAATCTCAAAGTAGTGAATCTGATGACAAGAAAGCAAGGTATTCTTTACTCAAACATCGGCACATGTACTTAAGATATAATAATAAGAAGATGTGGTATGTTTGCCCATGGAACAGCTCTCTACCAGAGACCAAAATGAAGTAAGAGTAAAATGAAATGACTTAAAAGCACATTCATAAAACAGGAAGCCACGATCTTGTGAATGTTTAAAAAAAAGCTGTATACAGGATGTCAATGCAGAATAATTGAACTTGACTTATACTCTGACCTATAATGGTTTACCTTTATAAATTGTGACTTGGATGGAAAGTTGTCTCATTGGCACTAATGCAACATCTTCTTATATCTATTGAACCACATTCCTGCTACAAACTACAAACGTACAAAGTGATGTTCGTCCTGAAAATAACAGATAAAAGAACTGAACAACGACATCATAACAACACTGCTTTCAGCATAACAACATATAAAGTTGAAGAGCATTGATGACCCGAAATTCCCAAAAGTTGTGCCAAATAGGACTACGGTTATCTATGCCTGAGATAAGAAAATCCTTAGTCATTCGAATAATTCATACTTTTGAAAACAGTTGATTTATAAAAAAAAAACACCATATTATTGATAATCATGTCAACACCGAAGTGCTGACTACTGGGCTGGTGATACCCTCGTTGAAGAAACGTCCACCAGTAGTGGCATCGACCCAGTGGTGTCAATAGTTATCAAAGGTACCAAGCTTATAATTTAATACGCCAAATGCGCGTTTGTCTATAAAAAGAAACATATGTGACGCTCAGATCAAAATAGTAGAAAGCCAAACAAATATAAAGTTGAAGAGCATTGAGGACCCAAAATTCCAAAAAGTTGTGCTAAATAGGGTTAAGGTAGTCTATGACTGGAATAAGAAAATCCTTAGTATTTCGAATAATTCACACTTTTATAACATTACCAGGCATTATCAGATATGAGAAGTTGTGACCATTTCTTAAGTATTAGCATAGTTCTAAAAGTGTTATGTGATGAATGATAATAAAAATTATTCAATCTATATTCTTTCTTTTCGATAGTTGTCATTTACTTAAAGAAATTACAATAATTTTGTGTTCGAATTTACATCAGTAATGAAATTTTAAAGTTAGAAACAGTTTTCCTTCCAAATTTCGAATAGATACTTGGACTATCAGACAGTACTTGAATCACACACTCATGTGATTCGTCTCTCTAATTTACACAATAGTTTGAACCTAAATGAACTAGATGTAGAAATGAAATTCAAATTTATTTTACAGGAATATTTCCTTATTGTCTGACCTACTAAAAATATATACATTTGATTAATTCTACAAACATGATGTCGATGGTTTATATTATTGTTTTTTATTTGTGTATTGTAGTTTATTGTAAACAGGAGATTTGTTCATCTGGGTAAATATATTGTATATACTATTTTAAAGGCCTTATTAATATTTTTCTCGAATATGTTGGAAATGGACAATATACAAAAGTTAAGTAAATAATATCATCCATTGCGGATAGTGTACTTTTTCATTTATTTCAACCTTTTATAATAAATCATATTTACCATTAAGATAGGCTAGTATTATATGTAAATATTTATTTCAATTTCTATTTTCAGTTTAAATGAATACTTGTGTTTTTTTCAATTTCGAACACAGGGACGGAACGTGTGTTGGTAAGAACATACATACATTTTTAAGTATCGGTCTTTTATCAAGATGTGTGTCCAAGGAATAAAACAAATGGCAATGTAAATGCCTTATATTTCGCAAAAGGTATTAGTACCTAATTTCAAAGGGACATTATCTCTTAAATTCATGTTCATCGATTTGACTCAAATTCTCGTCTTTAGTCTTGTATTTTCTTTTGAAAAGAAAGAGTGAGATGAAAGAAAACGAAGAGAAATCTAAATTTTCTAAAATCTCTTGTATCCGAGAATAAACAATTTTGTCAACTTTAAATGACCTAAATAACGCTAAGATCGATTGGAAAATTCCTCTCTCGGATAAAAGCCATAGGAAAAAATTGTAACTGAAACAATTGAATAAGTAAAAATAATGTTATAATAATAATAATAATAATGAAAGACCATGCCATACAAATACATCGATCTGATACCAGAATATCGATCCCCTTTTCATATTCATCCGGATTTATTTTAGCTTTACCAAGCTAAGTAAGAGTTGTGTCCCTTGGTCTGTCAAACTTCCGGTTTTCGTTTGAGTCGAACTACGTGTATCTCGAAATATTTCTTTGGTCCAGCTGACTTCGAGATAACGAGAGTCGACTGTATTTTAGAACTAACCAAAAGTCGTCGAAACTGTGAAATAGCATACAACACAGTGCAAGATATTCACACAGGGTGAATTCCTCGCCGCTGTTTTCGATTTTAAATTTCTAAATTAACGACTTATAATTATAAGTAAAACAATTCAAAGAATGAAAACCTAATTAAATTGTTATCTGTCTTAACCCTCGTACAGTTACAGACAAATCGATACTACAGGAGTTTTTATATAATCCGATTGGAGTAATCGTACGTTATGATGAAAAAAGTTAATTTGTGTATTATAACTAACGAGAAAAGGCAATTACATTTTTTTGAATAATAAGTATATTTCACCCTACCCTCCACAATAGAACCCAAATAAACGCTACACACCAATTAGCCCCATTTTATACAGTAAAATATGCAATATGGCTATACATTTAGTATATACTATACACTTTTATGCACAGTTCATTTTCTGTTTTTATTTTTTATCTAATAAATTGATACTAGTAATTGATGTCGGCACATAATTAAGTTTCGGATAGTAATATCCTAATTTTTAATCATGTAGCAATGTATACTGTGCGCTGTTTTTGCTTTGTATGGGTACTCGCCAACAGTGTTTTAGCTAATCTCCGGATATTGAGCGTGAATATTACCTATAAGAAATGTTACACAGAAATGAATTCATAAGAGAACACTATTCAAAACTATTCATGTTAAAATAAAATTCTGACCTTTCTAATGGACTAATGTTGATACAAATATAAATTAAGAAGATGCGGTATGATTGCCAAAACTTTCCGCAAATGACTTAATGACTATAACTAGTATGGGTCATCATACGCCGTAAGCATATTTCTTACTCATTATCATTTTGTGTTAATTATTTTTAGAGTGTAAAAAGGGTTTCATTTCATTTATTGGTGAAGCTTGCAGACCATGCCCAGAAAATACTTTTGGAAGAGAATGTTTATCTGAATGTGTATGCAATATGAATGAAAGGTTTGTAGATTTTCTGACCTTCAAATTTATTCTAGAATAAATAAACACTGCAGTATAGATATTGTGCATTGCACTTGTAGTCAGTACTTCTGTGCTGACATGAATTATCATTGATATGGTCATATGTATAAATTAACTGTTTACAAAACTTTTGAATTTTTGAAAGACTAAGGCTTTTCTATCTCAGGAATAGATTACCTTAGCTGTATTTGGCAAAACTTTTAGGAACTTTGGTCCTCAATGCTCTTCAACTTAGTACTTTATTTGGCCTTTTTAACTTTTTTGGATTCGAGCGTCACTGATGAGTCTTTTGTAGACGAAACGCGCGTCTAGCGTAAATACAAAATTTAATCCTGGTATCTATGATGAGTTTATTTACAACCACTGGGTCGATGCCACTGCTGGTGGAGTTTTAATTCCCCGAGGGTATCACCAGCCCAGTAGTCAGCACTTTTGTGCTGACATGAATTATCATTGATATGGTCATATGTATAAAATAACTGTTTACAAAACTTTTGAATTTTTGAAATACTAAGGCTTTTCTATCTCAGGAATATATTACCTTAGCTGTATTTGGCAAAACTTTTATGAACTTTGGTCCTCAATGCTCCTCAACTTAGTACTTAATTTGGCCTTTTTAACTTTTTTGGATTTGAGCGTCACTGATGAGTCTTTTGTAGACGAAACTCGCGTCTAGCGTAAATACAAAATTTAATCCTGGTATCTATGATGAGTTTATTCATTGACCAATAAGAGTTTTAAACTGGATAATTGTTTTGTTAGTTTTTGCTATTTCTCCTTATCCTTACGGTGTGTATATATATTTGTTAAATAAGTTAAAACGGAGGAAAATTGTGTGTTCGAAAAAACTTAAACTTAAGTAAACGATTTGAAGACTTTGCAACAACTTACAAAATGGCGATATGAGTTTTGCAGTCGTCATCGAGCATAACCCTAGAGATCTTGTGTCGAAAAGTCTCCATTTTGAGACTGTTTAAGCAGGTTATATGCACTATTTATGCGGAGTTTAAAGAGGATTTTTTAACGTGTTTCCCAAATTTCTTTTGAAGACCATTTTTTGCACTTTACCATAGAGTAAATTACGTATCTTCGTAGCTTTTGGGTTGTCTTTTACAGCATGTTATCTAAAAAGTTAATGTAATATAAGTGTTCTTTTACTCATATCACAGAAAAAGCAGCTCAAATGACACATAAAAATTAACATATGGTATAGAACAATACTTTGGACGTTGTGAATATAGCTGAATAATAATTACGACTCTTTTATGGAGTAACATTTAAAATACTCACAGATTTATTTTGTTTTGCATTTAACCTCTTGGTTCAAGATATGATAAACATTTTCATGTCAATGATACACAACTTGGCATTTTACAAGTATAAACATAGTTAGATAGTGGCCAAAACAAATTAACAGGTGAGGGATGTTGAATGTTTTATTATAAGCTCAATCTCCTAGAAAGTCGATCCATGCAAATACTGTAAAAAGACAAAACAACCCTTAAACTTGATCTTCGCATATAATAGTCCATGTGCACTTCTAATTCCAGGGTTTGGTTTACTTTTGGAACTTCATAATTAAAGAGGCACATTTAGGACATAAAAAGAGTTCCTATTGGAAATTGAATTTTTTATATTCAATGAACGAGTCTAGAAAATCGGTAAATCAATAAAAAAAATTAATCCAATTACTTTATTTTAGATGCGATCACGTGAACGGATGTGTGACGTTATTGTCTAGTATAGAAACGGTCAAAACAGATGATCATGGTGAAGGTAATATAAACGATTATTTTGTTTTCGACGATCTATTATTTTTTTTACAAGAAAATTAAATTAAATAATAAAAATTGAGAATGGAAATCGGGAATGTGTCAAAGAGACAACCCGGGTTCATTTAGTGTTCAAATCCCTTCCGCTGTATCACATTGAAACGTCATTTCAATGTAAAATCGAACGTTACGTTTATGTAAGATAGGCGACAAGAAATCAGAGGGACATTTAAACTCATTAATCGAAACAAAAATAACACTGAAAGTTCTATTGCAAAAAAGTAAAAATATTAAAAGAAAAACAACAAGTTACAAAAATCAACAAAATTTAGGGTTATCTCCGGTTCTGCAGAAGGGTATGTTGGTCTTGTTTCACATTTAGCATTCATCGTGTTGCTCATGTTGGTAAAACCCCGATGATAAGTCAAATTGTATAGGTCATATTCGAGGAAAAGGGACATGATTTTGGTTACGACAATTGAGACATATCTATCGTCATCTGTGAGACAGATATTCCATATGGATCAATTTACTCGTGTTGGCGTACATAGCATTGGTCAAGCTTATTTTTTAGTCTTCTTAAGAAGTTCGAATATAAATTAGTCTCATATGTAGAAAGGAAAAGTCTGCAAGAAGAGGAGCACAGTTGGTTTTTATAGAAATGCCGATAGTTTGTACACGTCCTCTTAACGTTACAAAAAAGTTGTCAATCAAGAAACAAAGGATCTTGATAATGTCATTTTCAGCTTTTTTGTTATTATTCAATCAAAGTGATTTTTTACATCAATACGATTTAAACGTCCCAAAGACAAGATACTTGTATTATGGACCATGACATTTTTCTAATCACGAACTGCAGAAGGAGAAAAAACTTTTTAACAAGAACAGAATATACCTTTCATTATTTTATACCTGTATATTATTCTGAGTTTATATTAAACACACTCAATGTATATATCCAAACTAAAGTCAGCCAAATAAATTTTGTGATAACAGTTGGTACTTTATTTCATTGGCTCAAATGAAAAATAAAATTATTGTGCCAAATAAAAAAATGCTAATGCGCAAATAAAAAACGTCGAAGAATTCATTTTGATAACATGTGTGTCAATGCAAATAGTGTTAAAGTATTGTGTTTTTATCACCGGAATATCATAGTTAGATTGTATTCATTATATTTGTTTTATCAATACCAGACATCCATCTGTGAGTTTGACTGTCCCTCTGGTATCTTTCGCCCCTCTTTTAGATGAAATAGAAATTGTTTATGTATGTATCTTATGCTATATTATATGTTTGAATTCCGAGATCCTGTCTGTTTTTCTTTTTAACTTACTGAAGGTAAATTACTGTACGCTTTTTTTATGACGGCAAATCAAGAAAAGTGCTTCTGAAGAATGATATTTACAACGTGTTGTTTTCATTTTTCAATATTTATGTGTGTATATCTTTGTTTGTATCTATGACGTGTTACCTTTTCAATTCTTTATTAACATTGAAATATTCAATCTACAAAATTATTACATATGTTGATCAACATGTAAAAAGAATGACAATACACATTTTTTTGTAGTTTCTTGTACATAACACTTTCACACATTTATAATAATCATTTACCACGACGTTTGCTACATGTGGAGCAATTTCTGCTTACCCTTCCGGAGCACTTGACATAACCATAAATTTTTGGAAGGGTTCTTGTTGCTCACTTTTAAGTGTTCTATGTTGTGTTTTGAGAACTGTTGTTTGTCTGTTTGTCTTTTTCTGTAAGCCCTTGCAATGTTTGTTTATCTTGGACTATGAATTTGAATACATTTTGGTATCTTCTGACCCTATTTTACGTAGTGAGTTCGTTATTTCAAATTGTCAATTTTGACTAAATATCAATGCCGAATCAACTAACCTAATTAACAGTAGTAGTGTAGTTATTGTTATTTGTGTGAAGTCTGCATTTTATATCCTTGGCTTTCAAATATTTGACATTGAGCGTTCCTGATGAATCGTGAAGAGCTTCGGACGCGGAAAAATTTTAAATGTGTTGTTTTCATTTTTCATAATCCGACTTTATCGTATTTAAGGACTTTCTTTTTTGAATTTTCCTCAGAGTTCAGTATTTTTGTGATTTTAATTTTTACAGATACATCTTTTTCAGCACTGGAACCTACAGCAGAAAGATACTGTAAAATAGGTAAATCCATATACTTTTGCCAGTTCTTAATTTGAACAAAAATTACTTACCTTAAAATGTTCAGCTGAGAATATAAAAGTCGAAGTCCGTAATATTGAATTCATTTCTTTTACGTTTTTTTTTTATATAAAATCATTACGGTCCTTTGAATAAGTAACACTGGTTTTTAATTTTTCCAGTTTGATTTTTTTCTGAAATAGATTAAAACTTTTTGAATAATCCAATAATAATAAGTTAATATAAAAAAAATACAAATCTGGAATAATCCTTTGAGAAATTAATCTTGATTTTATTCCTTACCGTTTAATCATCATGAGTTGAATTCAACTTAAAAAATATGAAGACCAGTTACATGCAAGTTACTAACTGTTTTCAGTTCGACACCATTTCTATATAATATTCAAAACCATCAGAGATATATAAATCAATCCATATGGTTTTGAGTATATTTACAAGTAGTCTCTGATGCATGATTTTAAAAATTTTTTTTTTGGCTTTCAACTAGCCGTCAGTAACTGGGAGTACTCCCAAATCGTACTTTCTTGTTAATTTGACCTGTTGATACCATTTTTTTTATACTTTTTTTGTTATTTAATGTTTACTTATTCAGTTTATATCTCGTCTATATACCAGCTTTGATAAGTGTTTGGTATGACTATAATTTTGCACTTCTTCGTAATATGAACAACAAACAATTTTATTAGTAAAAAATATTTCCGTTCTCCATTCAAACTGTAGACCTTCCAACAACAATATTTTCATTTACTTGTGTATATTATTGTATTTGGCGGCTTTTTGTTCAAGGTTAATGTTTTTTTTATCTAAATTGTTTGACATCTCACAGCGGTATACTACTGTTGCCTTTATTTAACCACCCCTTATTTATTGATTTTGTATTTACATTGTATCATAGATCGAATTTATTCGTTCAGTGTATGTTCAGTGTATGTTCACTTGTGTTAATATGTATTTGGATTGAGTTAAGCCATTTCAATTAATATTTTATAGTGTGTCTTTCTGTTTTTTGATGTTACACTATTGTTTCAGATAAGGATGAAGGTTGGTACCTATTAAAACGTTAACACCCGCTTCATTTGTTTGTACCTGTCGTAAGTCAGGAATTGGATGTTCAGTCGTTTGTTGATGCGGTTCATAAGTGTTTCTCGTTTCTCTTTTTTTATATAGGTGTAAGCCGAGACTCCGTGTTGAAGACCGTACTTTGACATATAATGGTTTATTTTCACAAATTGTGACTTGAATGGAGAGTTGTCTCATTGGCACTCACACCACATCTGCTTATACCTAGGTAGCATGACTGTTAGAAAACAAGGTTAACAAATAAGAATTGAGACATTATAAAGTATTATCACTGAGTTTTGTGGGCTGTTGTTAGGCGAGGGTATCAGCATCTAGGAAGCTGAGTTCTTCAAAATCGGTACTCGCATGAATTTGCAAATATTATTTATAGGAAATTTGCAGTGATAAAACTAAAAATAAAAATTTTGGAAATCAGATCATTGATATCTGTGTTTGGCTTTTTTCAAACAGTTGCAGATTTAAAAAAAAATATTTGGCAAACCAATATCCTAGTTTATTATAAAGGTTAATGACATACATAGAAGTAAAAGTAGTAGTGTAATCATCGTAATTTCTGTGATAGCTGTCTTTAAATAGCCCACTTTTCGTATTGGCAGGCACATATTGTTCGGAAGTGGAAACTACGACGGCATTAAAGAGCGAACCAGGTACTTGTATATTATATACTTTAAACAGATCTTTTATTTCAATTGAGAATAAACACGTTCAGCAGTAGAGGTAAATGAGTAAGTCAGTAGTAATGAATTTAAGAAATATATTTCGTATGTTTTATAGCAACAAAACTGTCCTTTGGATAAGTAACACTCGTTTTGATTTCTTAGTTTGAAACATTTTCTTAAACAAATGCAAAATTGCAGAAAATCGATTATAAAGTCAGGAATAGAACAGTTCTTTTCTAATCGTTTGATGTGTATGATGTTTTGATTTTACCACTTGATAAAGTACTTTACGTTTTGTTTTGAATTTTCCCTGGACTTCTTTTTGATTATTTTCCTTTTTCCAATATCAAGTTATATATATATAAAAACAATAAGGAATTACGTTTTCAGTCACGAATCTTGATTATGTTTTTGTTTTTGTTTTTGTTTTATTCATAACGTTTTTTCAACTAAAAATATAATAGGAGGGACAGATTTGAAAATAATACTTTGGGTAACCAGTATCCTAATTAATCAAAACGGTTAATGCGATAACTATAAGTAGAAGTAGTAATGTAATTATCAAAATTTCTGTGTTTCTGTCTTTTAATAGCCAACTTTTCGTTTTGAAAGGCACATATTGGTCAGAAGTGGAAACTACCACGGCAACAAAGAGCGGAACAGGTACATGTATATTATATGCTTTAAACAGATCTTTCATTTCAATTTCTGAAACAAATACAAATACAAAATCAAAGAAGATCGATTATCAAGTCAGGAATAAGACAGTTCTTTTCTAATCGTTTGATGTGTATGATGTTTTGATTTTACCACCTGATAAAGTACTTTACGTTTTGCGTTGAATTTTTCCTGGACTTTTTTTTGGTTATTTTCCTTTTTTCCAATATCAAATTATATATAAAAAACAAAAAAGAATTACGTTTTTAGTCACAAATCTTGATTATATATTTTCTGGGTTTCTTCTGAGCTTAATTTCAACTTAAAACATCATAAGAGGAACAGAAACCAACCATATTCTGTAAGACACTTTTGACTGATAGATGAAAAATGAGGCAAAACAGAGAGATTATTCATTAAGTTTAGTTCGATCATATAAAAGTAGCATGATTGTTAGGATTGTTAGATTTCATATGTACCGAAAAGAGAACCCATTGTTTCAATAATGTATCACCACTTGGTATATGCATCCGCTTGTCGACTGTTAACAACCAATACGCCCCGTCTTGCCGAGTTTGTTATGGCAACAAAATCGTTAGTCAAAATTTAAATTCAACAATACAACATAAACCCTATAATATAAGCCATTATATAGGTAACCCGGCAGACAACAGTTTGAAGGGCTAATACGATACAAAATGTACAAGTGTTGACAAACTTGAAAAGCTCATTGTTAAAAACACTTTTGCATGCGACGAAATAGTACATTTGCTAACCGAGAAACATGATGGAAACTTATAATATGTGATGGACATTCCAATTGTCAACAACAATGATATTTTCCTAAAACAACTATGTGTAGTTAAAAATAGAGCTGGAATTCTAGGGTCACTGTGCAATAGAACATATGTGAAACATCTAATATCTAACCTGCAGAAGATTAGTTTGCGGTTTATCGTTTAAAATAGGTTTAGGTGCTATTTTGTGTAAAGATGTTAATATTTTTTCACACGTATGAAATACACTTCCACCTCTATTTGCTGAGCAGGATGAATATAACAGATATCATCGATATCAACTATATTAACAATATCTATGTCAACCATATTTGTATCGTATTCCAAACTTATGTTTCATATATGATAACTTGTATTACAATTTGGACTAAACTCTATTTTTTGAAACATTTAACACCCCATAGGAAATATGCTTTTACACAAATGCAAAACGCCGATGTTGTCATATTGAGAACGCGTGTGTAAATGCAACTAGCCGGGCGCCGTTAATTTTAAAATTATTTGTAAATATTATATTCTTCTTGAATTAAAAAATCAAACAAAACATACATTTGATAGAATAATAATTGTTTATGAATAAACTGTTTATGACTGTTACCAATTCAAAAGTATACGTTCAAACCCCGAGGTTCAAACTCATAGTTCTGTCATGTAGTTCGATTTACTGAATGTAAAGCACTACATCTTTTTCTCTGTTTTCCTAACATCACTTGATTGACAGTTAAAATTCTTATTTAAAAAGTAGTAATAAGAAATATAAATTAACGTATAAAGAGTGATACTTGTACTTGTAAAGGTTTTTTTTCAAGAATTTGCAATACTATCATATGAGAAAAATATAATGATCCGTTGTTATAAACTATCTGAAACCCAGTCATCTGAACTGATATGCAAAGAATTTAATACTGAAAAGAATGTATCGAGTATAATTACAGAAGGATGAACAATATTAATTATTGTGTATTGTTGTCAACTTGGCTCTCATGAATTGGCATTTAGTAGTCCCCGTTTCCTTTTGAAGAGTAATACTTGTATGATTCTGTTTTAGAAAGTTCGCACGCATTGTTTTCTCCTTAATTGTTATTGTAATTGTTTTTCAAGATAGTATAACTTACTATTAGAAATTTCTTGTTCTAAACATTTACATCGTTGAACTTTTGGTGTAAGACAATTTTATATGATTTTCAAGACTCTCTATAAGTTAAAAAAATACATGCCTGAAAACTCATGAAATTGCTTCAATCTTTTAAAAACAAAATGCTAATATCTAATTGATACCTTATTGGAATGACTAGTGCCATGTAACTATATATAAAAAGTATTCAGTAAGATTTTGGAGGATTTTTATTTTCATTTGAAAGTGAAACACGATCCTTTTCGACTTTATCTTTTGCACCAGACTACAACAGGCTCTCATTACGTAGTAGGATAATTTGAATTTGAATCTACATGGGCGGTTGATTTCTTCTTGTGCAAGAAAATGAATTTTGATATCTCTTTTGATAATAATACCTGACTTCTTGTGTCAGTTATTGTTATACGATTATTGGGGTTTTTGAAACCAAATAATTACAGTAAAGCTTTCTGAGTGCAAACCAATTCATACCTATGCTTAAATAATAGGAATATCGTATTGTTAATATTTGTTCTTAAACGTAATGAATAAAATAAAATGTGACATTTGTTGCAAGAAAAATGGGCTATTTTGTTGTTTTCATTATGTTATCCTTATATGTTATGATAGGTTACAGTAACATTCAATCATCAATCGGAACAATTTGCGCATTATTGATGTTCCTTCTACTAGTATTTGTCTCCCTGGCTTGTTTTTACTGGAAATATAAGTTTGCTTGCAAGAACAGAGGACAAACAAATATAACACACTACGATGCATCTAGCAGCTTTTCGCTCAAAGGAGACACTCACGAGTACATGGAAATAGATGATGGATTTTTAAATGTAGAATCTCAAAAAAATGATGCACATGCCACGAGAAGCAGTGCAAGTTCGACTGGGGGTAGCGGAATAAGTGGAGTAGACAATGATGGATATCTAAATCCCTATCAGGAGCTGAAATCAATAGAAATTACATTAAGCCAGGAGCCAAGTTCAGAACAATTAAGCAGAGAAACTAGTTTTATACACGCACAAGAGAACATAGTTTATATCGAAGATCAGGATGAATGATAATAATAATCAGTAAATATAACAGAAAAACTTGACTGAACTCATTTTTATTACATTGATATGAATGAAATTGCGTGTGTCTGCTTTAAATCAACGACATTTCAGTAAGGCATGCAGATCGATGTCGATATTCAATTAAACGAATTGTTATGAAATTTATTAAACAATATGTGAAACTGTAAAAAGAAACACAATTCGTTTCAGTCAATGAAAATTATTATTCAAATCATTAATTAATATAACGATTCTGGGATTTACTTTATATTTTTAAACTGATTACCAGGCTAGATTGTGAAAACAGAATTCGATGAAAATTTTACAAATCAAACATCATTTGATTTAAATTCTAATGGTATTTAAAAATTATGAAACTGACATGTTTATTAGGCTCCAAGTTGGGGACAGATTTGAAACAAAACAAAAAAGATTTTTGCCAGTAGCTTTTACTGTAAATTCACAAAAATAAAAGAAAAAAAACCCACATAGACAAAAAATAAAAAACCCGAAAACAAGCAGGATAATTATTTCGTTTTCTTACTTTAAGAAACAAATTGTGAATTTGTAGTACTTAAGTTATGTGGTTCGCAATGTCTTGACTACTTTACCCTTTTTGAAATTTCTAAAGAATCAGATTTTCCCTAGCACCGGTATCAGTAGGCTGTAGTATAATGTTTCTTTAAATATTGTCCTGGACAAAAAAACGAGAAAACACATCTTTTGTTTGAGCTGTTTACAGAGAGCAAGGTTTTTATATATTTTTGTTTGGTCACAAATAATTACATATATTTCTAATATTTGAAGTGGGTCGGCATCTGAAGAATCAGTTCTCAGTAAATATGGAATCTGATCTATGTGTTTAATTATATTACTTTTAGGTTGTTTAAACGAAACATGGCTTGAAAAAGTTTACTTTTCATCTGAATGAAAGTAATAAAAGGTTGAAAATGAAAACAATCAGGCTGGACGAAATAAAATCGTATATATGTTAATGAAACTATTTTACAAGGAAGAATATAAATCCGGTTCATTGTTTCATATATGTTAAAAAAATTATATAAAAACTATGCTGCATTTAATTGTGTTGTTTCTTCCTGGTACCAATTGCACGGAAAGGACCTTTCATTATTAATATTTGTTAAGGAAATTCCACTTCAATAACCTACTAAGTATATATGTAGTTTATTCATTTTTATTTTAATAACGCAAAAACTGACTATTATGTTTTGACTTTGTCAAGGGTATATTAACTCAATGACCAACTTGGCCTACATCAATAACATGATAAATGCATACGTCACATCGCAACATTTTCATATATTGCTTGTAACTTTTTAAAATGTGCAATATTGTTTGTTTGTTTTTTTCTTAAAAATTTCTATCTGAAAGAATATATTCGGGCTGAACGTCAATGAGACAGTAATCCAAACAAATAACCAATAACACACCCAGTGGGCAACGTACATGCAGTCTTATTATATATGTTGTTTAAACCAAAAAGATAAATACATATGATTTTTAAAAGTCAAAGTACTTATGGTCTATGGAAATAAAATAAAACCCAACTGTAATCTGTAAATCACCCACTAACATTACAAGCATAAGTAAAATGATGTTCTCATCTTTTGACCTTATAAAGAAAGACAAACCAAACACATGACGCTACAACTACGTTAATTATACTTAACAAAGGATCAAGCGAACAATGCATTTGTAAAAGACGATGTAACACGACTCAAACTGGGTAATCTCCAATTTGATAAAGAATAATTCAAATTTAAAACAACAAAATATTATAAATGTATCCTCATTACTCAGAATTCGTCAGATACTAAAGACAAGTATAATATATGTCGCTTCTATGTTTGCTCGTTAATTTAACAAAAAATTTCGACATCGCTTCCTCATGTACTATTGAACTGAATGAACTGCGTCTTTGATAAGCAGCATCACAGTAATGTGTTGCAACGTATGATCACTTTATCGATCTGTCCCAATATATTCCGTGTTTGCCGATGATGTTATTTAATTTGAAGTGATGAGTTATACATGTAACATGTTACATGTGAGTGCATTTCGAATATGCCATATAACTATTAAATAGTTGTCGTTACTTTGAATTACGATCTGAGATATGTTTAGCACGACATGACTTTCATTTTTATTGTATTGGCAATTTGTATTATAAAAAAAAGTAAAATCACAAAAATACTGAACTCCGAGGAAAATTCAATCGGAAAGTCCCTAATCACATGGCAAAATCAAATGACAAAAGACATCAAACGAATGGACAACAGCTATCATATTCCTGACTTGGTACAGGCATTTTCAAATGTAGAAAATGGTAGATTGAACCTGGTTTTATAGCGCTAAACCTCTCACTTGTACGACAGTCTCATCAAATTCCGTTATATTTACAACGATGCGTGAACAAAACAGACATTATGAATAAAATAGTCAAAATATGGGTACAGCAATCATCATTATATTGCTTTTGATGGGGATCGTTTTACTCAATCCTAAGTATTAAATGTTCGGTTTTTGTTTCATAATGCGTCTAGTCTAGGATCGTGACAGGCTATAACACCAATAAAAGATAATCAGTCTAGGATCGTGACAGGCTGTAACACCAATAAAAGATATCAGGCAAAAAATTTGACGCGCGTTTCGTATTCATAAGACCCAAAGCAGTTGGAAAAAACAAATCAAATATGAAGCTGAAGATCTTCCAAGACCGACAATTCCGAACAGTTGAACGTAATATGTCTACGAAAATAATTTCAGAGAGTAAACATATGAATAATAATACACGTCAACACTATTGGGTAAATTATTAGGCTGTTGATATTCTCGGGAAAAAAGTAAGATCACAAAAATACCGAACGTTGAGGAAAATTCAAAACGGAAAGTCCCTTATCAAATTGCAAAATCAAAAGCTCAATTTTTCAATTGTATCAAAGACGCATAGAATCCCGTTATATTGACAACGATGTTTGAAAAAAACAAACAGATATTATAGGTAAAAATGTCAAAATAGGGGTACAACAGTCAACATTGTGTTATAATCTTAATCACAATAAAAATACAAATATGTAACAAAGAAACACAAAAGGGCATATAGACAAAACACATATTAAGCAAAAATGAAATACAAAAATGCAAATGGAGAAACGTTCAGAAGAAGTGACATCGACAAGTGGTCGCGACAAAGAAGAGGCGAATACTCTTTACAAATAGTTTAAGGATGTGAGGTCGTTGATAAATATTAGAATAAAAGACATACTATAAATTTTAGGCCAGTTTGTGTACTTTGAATAAGACTTTCACCACCTTTACTTTGTACTCATTCCTATCCTTGTTAAATTTTTCCCATGAAAACATTTCATGGAAGCGGGATCAGCATATCTGTATTTAAACATCAGTATATCACTGGTTACCGGAATTTTGGCTGCACTTAACAGGCACTTCATATCTTATAAACAGGCAATTTTAGCAATTATTCATTTCTTTTATATTATTCACAATTGCCAATAAATTATGTATTCTAGAATGAAAACTAGTCCTTCGCTTTTCATCTGCATCATTTCTAAAGTATATGCTGCTACATAACTTTAGATTTACACCAAGGTATGGAACGCCACAACTGTCTTATATGGAATTCTAATATTACGTTATGTTGTTTTATTATTATTTGATGTTATTTGGTCTTTTCATAATATGGTTTTGACATTATGTAATGATGTTTTGATATAGCTCAATATGGAATAGTCACTACTTAATCATGTTAATGATATTTCGATATTACATGATATGGTTTCGTATTGACTTGATATAGTTTTGTCATTACTCGATGTTGTTTCACCATTATTTAATGTGTCATTAGGCAATGTGGTTTTAACATTACTTGATGTGTATGTGACTTGCAATGCTGTTTCAAATTTTGACGATTTTACACTACATGATGTGTTAATAACAGTATTTGATGTAGTCCTGTCATTCTTTGATGTGGTTAGCACATTACTTGATGAAGTAAATCCAATAGACTATTTCGGAAACAAATGTTCTTTTTTTTAGATTTCAATATGTCATTTGATAAGTGTACTTTGGATTAGCATGGTATCGCTATCCTTTGAGTTAAAGATCAAATTAAAGTTGAGTTGTAGTTTAGAGTTATTTTGTATTAAAAAGGGAACGGCAGACAAAAATAAGAAAAAGGTACTCAAAACTTAACAGTAATTCTGACATAAGGGGGATATCCCTAAGCCACTTGGTCCTGCTGTTTTTTCATTAGTTCAGACAAATGGAATCAATATCATAATGAATTCGTTAAAGATTCTTCTGATAATTCTGCTGTCAGTGTAAAAGCGTAATGTTCACTGTACATTTATCGGTAAAATAAAAAAAAAAAAAATAAAAAAATGTTTTTCTGTAGATGCTTTTATCTTGACCTTGAAAAATAACTCCTATACAAGTTTTATAACAATCCAATGAGGTTTACAAATTTATCATGTCAAAACAGCTTAATTCGGTAATATTTGATGAAAAAAAAAATTATGTGTTATGATTGTCAATGACACAACACTCAACCACATACCAAGTTTCGTGTTAAACTTCGAGCTGAGTCACATTTAAAAATAGAGTTACAATTCGAATTTGAATTTTAATCACCTTTTGATGTAGAGTTCGAGTTAGGCTATCACTTGATTAAGATTTGGAGTTGAAATTCGAGTTATCTAAAATGAGTTCTATTTCAAAAATTTAACGCGGATCAAGGGCTTTTGCTCGAGCTTCCAAAAAGAGGGCTTAGGAATGGGTATGCGTACAAAAGATAAATAACGTTACAGCATACAAAACACAACTTCGAAATTGAAACAAAGTAAGATGTGGTGTAATTGCCAAATGAGACAATTATCCACCAGAGTTTAAATGCAGTGGATGTAAGCAATCATAGGCAACCGTTTAGCCTTCAACACACCGTATAGTCGGCTACAAAAGGCCACCACGTGAAAATGTAAAGCAATTCAAACGAGAAAACTAACGGTCTAATAATAACTAAACAATCTACGAAAAACAAATATGACACACATGAATCAACGACAATTATTAAACCAACATAACGTAATATCAGAGTTCCACATAAGACAGTTGTGGCGTTCCATAGTTTGGTATATCATGTGCAATGGCTAATTTAGAAACATGAGCGAGTTTGCTGTATGTCTTGCGACTCACTGTGACTTTGAGATAATTAAAAGCAACTAAAGTGCATTTGCTTTTGGTGTTTGTTTTTTTGCGTACTATGGATATTTTGTTTTGAAAAGATACATCCATATACTTTCTCTTCCATCAAATATTTTTAAACACGTAATTAGACCTCTATAAGATTGACACCAAAATCGTATAATTCTAAGTTGCATGTTGTCAAATCTATTATAATTTTGTCAAGGAGTTTTTTTTTAAATCTAATGTTCAAACCACATTTGCACAATTTGAACAGGCTATCATATGTTATAATGCATGGTGTTGATTATAATTTAATGCATAGCGGAATGGATGGTTGGAATGAGCTAACACGTTTTAAGAAAATTATGGTTGGAGGTTAATCCGTAAAAGGAGTATCTAATAAGACATTCAGTTAAAATGAACTAACCAGTTGCTAAATAATTTGCTGCATATGAATGGCTTTAGTTGAAATAACATACAGGTATATATATTCTATATACTGTTAAAAAATATTGCTGCACTGTAAAAGAACAAAGCGCTACAACTCTTGTCTGTATTAACAAATAATAATGCAAAAAAATCTGTTTGACACTTTTTATTGGCAAAAGACAGACAACCCTAAATTACTCTCATTTCAAAACAAAAAATGCACTATAATAAACATATAGAATAGCAATGACAATGTAAACAAAATCGGACTCTACACCAGTTTTACATTAAAAAGAATATATCGGAATGTAAATTCTAATTTGAAATGTGAAGTAACTGTCTTGGTATTTAGCCCAATAGGCCATTTTTGAAATAAAAGTAAAATACTATTGTGTAAGGAAAAGTTTGATTTTTAAAGAAAGTGTGCATAATGAGGCCCCTCATGAAGGTGTCCAAGTAATCACATAAATTTTTGCCAAGGGAATAAAAAAATAAAAAATACAGTCCTAGATTATCAAATAATCAAATAATCACGTTAAAAAAGCCAAGTAATAACATGAGGAGGCTCCATAACATACCTTACGAGAAATCCAGTATACAAGTTATAGTTTGGAAACGCTGACAGCATTATTCATTCAAAGAGTAAACAGATTCTACCAAATGAAAAATGATTCATTTATCTTTTAAGGAAAATATCGTGATTTTGTCAGCATTATTAAAAAAACTGAGCATCGCCGATGTCTTGACGACATTTTTTCTAGCTGATTTTAGTAGGTGAATGATATTTTATAAAAATCTTCGGAAAATTCATGACCTCGTGATATCGTAGAATGATAAAGTTTCTTGATAGAAGATATATGCCCTTTTTGAAAGCTACAACTTCTTCCAAAGTTCGAAATATTGAAAATCGACATTCAAAATGACCTTTTAATTTCATCATATTTAAAAAAAAATGTTTACTTGAATTTTGATAAAGGTATGTTTGCACTCATACTATTAAATTTGTATCTTCAAATAACATTTAATCTCTAATTTATAAACATCTACCTCGCAATTCATTTTTTTTCTCACAAATATTTCCTTGTCGTCAAAACTAATTTAAATATACATTTGATTATTTGATTGATGCTGTATACACTATGTTGTTGAATTATATGAATGTTTCCTTATTGTGTACTTGTATTGTCTTTTGTAGTGAATATCGTTGTGGAAGGAGAACCCAAACTGGGTAAATGTATTTAATAAACTAAACATTATTATCAATACTTTTCAGCGAATGTTTTGTACCATGCATTACGAATAAAGAATTTTTTAATTTATTGCAGTTTAAACCTTAAATAATGTATGAGATTTCAAGACTGACAAAGATTATATCAAAACATTGTTTTAATTTATATTTTCAGTTTAAAAGAACATATTTGTTGCTACGGTTACGAGCTCAGGGACGGGCGCTGTGTTGGTAAGATCATACATATGGCATAGTTATTACTGTATGAGTCTTCTTTCAAGACCATGAACGATGTGTGTGTGTGTGTGTGTGTGTGTGTGTGTGTGTAAGTGTGTTAGTGTTTAGATATAAACGCAACTATTATCAGCACCCGCTTTGCGCATGCGTTAAATTTGACCATAATCGATATCGATAAATTTACTAGATATTGTTAATGGAAATCTTAAATTTCAGATTTTACAATTTTTTTTTAATCAGGGCCTTTTTATTCAAAAATCGAGTTGCGATCATTTTCTGAAGTTGACCAGAAATAATCTAAGTCATACCAGGTAAATATTCATGGATAAATAATTAACACATGACAATGTGATGACTTCTGTAATTCTCTGTAGTTTGTGATTTTTGTCTTTGCGACAGTTTAATAGCCTCTTTCTTTTCAAGTTTACTTTATAAATTGTAAATTTCAATGCACAATTTTTTCAAATAAGTAAAAAACTATATTCTCCAAGATAAACCTATTGCCAAAGTCTTAAAAGAATAAGACAAAGGCAGCATATGTGCCAGTTTGGACTATATACGAAATATTTGTATATAGTAATGCTAATTTAAAGATTACAAAACGGCAAACGCTTAAAACAGGAACATATATATTGACGGGACTTGACACTACCTAATTATACAGATTTCATCGTCGGGTGTTAGATATACTGTTCCCAGCTTAAAATTAAAATAAATTGGACTAGATATTTTAACAGTTTAAGAACCAAAATTTTCGATACATACATGTAGATGTGATATATACTAGTCTATTGCTTGTTTGATGCATATTCTCCTTTTATCCATTTAAATTTTAGAAAAATAAATCGCATTGAACAAAATAAATATTATTTTTAATTTGTCTCCGTCCTTTCAAAAGTTTCTATCGTGAAAAAAAATTAATTTTGTATTTGAACATTTATGTAAAATTTGTATTAAAAAGGAAAATTATTTTAATTATTTTCTGTTAATGTATTAAAAGTTTACGGAGAGCTGTCTCATTGGCACTCATACCACATCTTCTTACATTTATATTGTACATGTATTTGCAGGATTTTTAATTTTTAATTTATCGAACGAATAAGATAATTTGAATCGTTAAAATTTAGAATTATACTTGAAAACAGATGCATGCGATGAATACAAAAAAGTAATCACTGTTTATTTTACATAGTTAATTAAGAACTGCCAAACTATAAAAAACCAAAATAAAAATCACAATTTCTATTTACTATTGTATCTATCTTTATCTATATTTATTTATGCAAGTTAACATGAAGTTTACGATTTAACTCGTGGAATTCGTTTAGAGGTATTCCCGTAACAGTGTGGACGACTGTAATACTTATGTTGTTAAAAATACTGAATCATTAACCTTTAACTTGTTTGTCATCGGCTATCGATATCAATGATTTTACGCTCACCCAGTTTCTCAGAGGCCTTCCGTTAGGTTTTTTCCTTAAAAATATTCTGATCCCCAATTTGAATTAAAAACAAATTGTGGTCAAGCACATGAGATAAAAAAAACAACAAAATATTCTGAATCAAGATGTTTCTAATACATTATAGTGTTAAATTTTGTTAAAAATAAACTGATTGATAGCGTCGAACTTTAAAAACTTTTAAAAAAATTGAATTCTCCCTATCGTACATTTTGTGTATGTTTTGTACTTGGCACAACTATTGAAAGTTGATCATGCATTTGTTCTAAATAAAATTTGATACAGAATAAAAAGTAAAAGATACTAAGTGAAAAAAAAAAATTAAGACAACGGCAGTTGTTAAATCGCGATGACGTCAGAAAAAGATTACAGCCAACACATACACTACATTATAATTTTAAAAGTTTTAAAAGTTTCATGAAAAATTTAAAAAAAACACGCTAGTATATAATGTTTGAATATTCAATACAACTTAAAACACAAGGTTAATTCCTGTGCTAGTTTTTCGAACTATTTGATTAAGCCGTTGAAATCCTTTGGTGTCCCCACAGTATAAATGTCTGTTATAAGTATGACGTGAGAAGACGAACGTTTTGAACACATAATCTGACCCAGTCAATTGATGACCTGAGCGCCCAAAGAAATGGTTTCTTCAACACTGTTATGAAAACAATTATAAGTTATGTCTAAAGTAAAGCAGAAAATATCAACATACATTTCTGAACAAACGAAAACTGTATGGTGTAAATCAAAAATTTTGTTGAAGTTTATATCACCATCAGAACTAGGAAAAACATGTATTCCAAAATATTTGCTGACTAATAATTTAGTCAAGTGGAAAATCTTTGAAAAAATTAAAACGATTAAGAGCGATTTACCTATTTAATCAAGCAGATATTTGTACGGTTTGTATATTTGGTCACTACAATTTGTCTATAAATTGTCCAGTTTCAATGAATTTGAATTTATAGAATACTGGACATTATTACACAAAAGAAATGCATAACCTAAGACCAAAATTCCATTTAATGTTCAAAAATGTGATTCTAAATATTCTAATGAGTATATGCTAGTATCAGATTTATCTACCTTACTTACTTTGAGTTCGGTATTTTTTTGTTATTATAATTTTTATGCCACATCTTGGGGAATTATGTTTTTTCGGTCTGTGCGTCTGTTCGTTCGTTCGTTCGTCCGTCTGTTCTGCTTCAGGTTAAACGTTTTTGATGAAGTTGAAGTTCAAGCAACTTGAAACTAAGTACACCTTCCCTATGATATTATCTTTCTAATTTTAATGCCAAATAAGAGTTTTAACCCCAATTTCACGGTCATCTGAATATAGAAAAAGAGTGCCCAGAACCTTATTATGGAATTAGGTGTGAACAAAAATGTGCATTCAGAACTACTAAAAGGGTTGAATATGTTATTTGTATCTTCAGCTGAATCAATGAAGGAAATATACTACATGTATTACATATATAGTCACTAATTTGACGGTCTGAATATCGTTTGTGCAACTAATAGTAATACGAACTATGCGATGAAAATCAATGTCTGTCTCGTATTCTGAATAACCATAACGCTATTTTCTTTTACCTCTGTTCATCTGACCTCTTGTCTTTGGACTAATTTGTGAGAGGTTTTTTCACAAGATAGTTGGCATTAAGTCTTAACCTTAAATTTTTTCACTAAAGTTTCTCTAATAGTTAATAGTATAGAATAAGGGGTATGCTTGGATATTGAAGCTCCACTTATGTATGTTGGATCGGGTCATATGTTCAATGTATCTGTTATACAATCCATTTACTGTTGTTTGATTTATATGTGTTATGTAAGATTCCAGAAAAGAATATGTCACAGAGAATCAATACCATAAAACGAAAAATGACCTTTCAGATATTCAACATTAAACAACATTAAACAGAAAACATAAAACAAAGAATTAAAAAACAAAAACTACAAATTAACTCATGTGCTTTCAAACCGTAAGCAGATCATTTCCTACCTGACTAGTATATTTCGGTTTAAATTAGATCCTATTCGCATTTAGCTCCACTATAGATTTAAAAAAACGGAAAATTGTCTGTTGAGAAAACCTACTCTTGAGTAATCGTTAACCTAAAACGATTCCAAGGTATTACAATTACAATATCCTCCATGACGGCGATACGATAGTTAGACTGTTGTTTGTGTTGTCGTCGTTTGTCGCTATTTTCCCATGATTATATGTCAGCCTTTGATTTATGAGATTTAAAAGTCCTTTGGTATATTCCGTAAAATTTCAAGGTCGACATGAAAAAGCATTACCATAAAATATTGATGGAAACAAGTCTGCTATATGTGGTAAGCACCTTAAATGAAATTTGTATATGCAGTCATCGGAGGAATTGTCTTTTAACGCCCAGCATACGATACATTTAGTAGGGGGTTGGTTATTATTTGCGGTCCGTGCGTTCGTCGGTCCGATCGGTGTTTTAAGTGAATATTTTACGACATTTGATAATTTCATGAGATTAGTTTTCTATTATTAATAACACACCAAAAGCAACACAAATGACATCTAGTAGTGAATATACAGTCATTAAATGAGAACTAGGATCTCAATATATGTTGAGCTCTTATTTACCTTGGTGTAGAAATATTTGGAATAAAACGATAAGATTTAACATTAAATTGATATTTTTCAGATGCTACCATGAAGTAGGATGTGTACCTGATGTATTACTCATCACAGAAGCTGTCACAACAGATGATTATACTGAAGGTATTAATGAAGTTGTTCATTTGTTTCCCGACGTGAGGATACAAAACTAGAGTCCTACCCACATCATAATTCTTCAACGCATAATGCCCATTATCTAAATCGAACTTAATATGTATATTATGATCCCTCACATTTTGACTGGAAATAATTGCAGAAGAGATTCAAAGAAAGTATTCGACTTTTATAAATATAGCAGATACCTAAACAACGTTTTTTTCTGAGTTTTATTTACATAAAATTGAGAATGGAAATGGGGAATGTGTCAAAGAGACAACGACCCGACCATAGAGCAGACAACAGCCGAAGGCCACCAATGGGTCTTCAATGCAGCGAGAACCTCCCGCACCCGGAGGCGTCCTTCAGCATGGCCCTAAACAAATATGTATACTAGTTCAGTGATAATGGACGTCATACTAAACTCCAAATTATACACAGGAAACTAAAATTAAAAATCATACAAGACTAACAAAGGCTAGAGGCTCCTGACTTGGGACAGGCGCAAAAATGCGGCGGGGTTAAACATGTTTTTTGAGATCTCAACCCTCCCCCTATACCTTTAGCCAATGTAGTAAAAACAAACGCACAACAGTACGCACAGTAAAACTCAGTATAAGAGAAGTCCTAGTCCGATGTCAGAATAGGAAACAAAAGAAAATAAACAATAATACATAAATAACAACAGACTACTAGCAGTTACTGACATGCCAGATCCAGACCTCAATTAAACTGATTGAAAGATAATGTCTTCATCATATGAATATCAAGCACAATCCCTCCTGTTAGGGGTTTAGTATTATACCGTCATAAAATATATGAGAAGAACATAACCCGTGTCATGCCAACAACTGGTTTTAGAATAAATGTGTTTAATTCCGATGCAAAGACCCTATAAGTGAATCAATATTAAAGCCAAAATATGCAATCTTTAATGACCTGACAACAGTATCGTAACTATATTCCTTTTTAATAAGTCTGTTTAAAGGTTTTGTTAGCTTTTGAGGTGAATACTGACATTTTTGTGCTTTGTAAAGAATATTACCATAAAAGATTAGATGTGAAATACCCGAACGTATAAGATGTCTGCATGTTGAGTTATATTTACGAATGATGTCCTTATACAGATGATAAAATTTAGTACTAGTAAATGTTTTGACTAGTTTATGATATCGAAAACCCTGGTGTAATAATTTTTCAGTAATACATAAATTTCTCTCGCTAAAATCTAATACGTTGTTACATACACGAGCGAATCGTACAAGTTGAGATATATAAACACCATAAGATGGTGACATGACTGTATTTCTGCAAAAGTACTCCAGCTAAATGAAGTTTAACATAACAGTCAACATTGTTCATTTAATTTATATCTGTATATTTTGTAAAAAAATAGAAAATATTGATGCTGCAACTAAGACACACAATTCATCAAAGATACAAAGCTTATTATTCGTTACACAAGACGTGTATTTCGTCTACACAAGACGTGTATTTCGTCTACACAAGACGTGTATTTCGTCTACACAAGATGTGTATTTCGTCTACACAAGACGTGTATTTCGTCTACACAAGACGTGTATTTCGTCTACACAAGACGTGTATTTCGTCTACACAAGACGTGTATTTCGTCTACACAAGACGTGTATTTCGTCTACACAAGACGCGTATTTCGTCTGCACAAGACTTACCAATGGTGCTCGAACCAAACAGTTTGAAGGCTTAATAAAATAGCAAAAAATAGATTCCAAAAATGACACCGGAATTTTATTATACGGCGTTTAAATTTCACTTTTACTGCTTGTTAGATTATGTAACTGTAAAGCCGAATTCTACGAGTTAGTTATTTAACAGCGTAAGAGGTTTTTTAAATACAGTTTCAATTCTGATATATTGCTGAGTGTAAATTCCTATTACGAGTGATACATGCATAACAGGAGTGGAACCCGTCTGTATCTTTCGGTATCATGAAATCCTCCAGTTTTTGTTTTTTTCTTGATTTTTATTTTCGTAATGGATATCTACGAAATAATAAGCTTTAATAAAATTAATGACTGAATGTGTAATGTTCTCAGTTTTTGTTTAATCTATATGTCTATGGTGGCAAATTTTGCCTGCATCTTCAGGACAAGAACAATTGAACAATATATGTTCTGCGAGGTATGAAAAAACAAATGCTTTAGAATCAAATCAGTGAAAAGGGAATTCTGACGACTGCAACTGATAACGTGATAGTTAGACTAATCGAAATACCATTTTATAACATGACAGAGAAAACATTACCATCAAAGAGATGTTACCTGTCCTTTGAAGGAAAGTTGCTTTTCCAATGTTTTCATAGACATCAAATAGTTTCACTCTTTAGAATTAGATTATATAGCTATTAACATTAGCTTTGTCACAAGTTTCCATAACAAGTTCTTTGGCAATTTTAAAAACACAAGCCAGATGAACCGAAACATGAAAAGCTGAATCTTAACTGGATGCAAATTAATTTCAGGAAAATTACAAGTTGAATTTAAAATAATAGAAATGAACCTCTTTATGACAGGGGGTAAAAAGGTCAAGTTTGCATATTTGAATTGTTTACATCGTTTTCTATATGGTCATTCAAAGTTTATTGGAAGTGCATAATTTATCATTGTTGTGTCTTATATAGATACAAAATCATAAAAGAGTAAAATGAAGGGCAAGTTGGCATATTTGGATTGTTTACATCTATTTCTATGATTTTAAATATTTCAATTCAAATGTATAATTTACGACGTTTTGTATCTTACACAGGCAAATTTTGCTAATATGAATTTCACATGAATCTTAATTACCTTGAACGAGCTTATACGTGAAACTCACATGAACATTTACACGTGAATTGAGATTAACCCGAATCTTATGTGACATTTTTCACGTGATTTAACAAGAAATTTACAGAAAAAAAAATATTTTTCATGTTTGTAATGAAATTGGAAAATTTGGATGTTAATTGAATAACTTTATTTTGAAAATACACGTGAATTTCACATGAACAAATTTCATGTGATTTTAAAGTCAAATTCACATAAGATTCACATCAGATTCACGTGGAACTCATGTGAAATCCGTTCACGTTAGTTTGACGTATAAGCTCGTTTGAGGTGAAATTCACGTGAATTTCACATGAGATTCCCATAAATCGAAATTCACGTGAATTCACGTGAGTAAAATTTCCTTGTGTGTGTGTATATATATATATATATATAAATGTATAATAGAGGGTTTAAAGGGCATAGTTAATATATTTGGATTAATATCAAACTGTTAAAAACTATAAAATTTGGAATTTTTATCAATACAAAATGTCTATATACCATCGTTGTGGACATATTCCTATTCATTATAACCAGCAAAGTATTCCCGAATTCCCCATTATAATTATTAATCGTTTTAGAATTAACATTTCGAGTTTATGTTTTAAAATTTCACACACATATTGCTTAATAAATGGAACAAAATATTCTTCACAGGAACCTTGACAGTTATTTTCATGATTTTTTAACATTGTTTTGCAGCGGATACACATAAAACAAAAGAATATTTGATTTACTAACTTTATCGACTATTTCAGAATATAAATTCTGATTTTTGAAGTAAACTGTTTTCTCCTGCGCATGTATGAAACTGGTTCCTGTGCATGATTGGTCAGTACATCGTGCATGCTCCATCTCGATTTCAATGGATTTGAGCGCATGATAGGGATTCAGATATCCATCACTGTCTATTCCACAAATGCCGCTACCCCCAGTCGAACTTCCACTGCATCTCTCGCGATGTTCGTCATATATTGAAGATTCCCGATTCAAAAGTCCATCATCTACTCTTTCGTACTCGTGGGCCTCGCCTTGTTGTGCATGGTTTCTAGATACATTGGGATGTATTGTGTTTAAGTGAAATGTTCTTTTTTCTCTCTTGTTGCAAGATACTTCATATTTCCAACAAACATACGTAAGAGAGACACATACTAGTAGTAGAAATAATATCGAAACAGTGCTGATGTTTACGATTTGAAGTATCGATAGTGGAATGATATCAATGCCTATCAAAAGATGTAAATATACTACAGAGTATCATAAATGAATTATTTTTCATGAGCATATAAAAAAAAGATATGTTTATTATTTCAGTTGACATTGTAAAACTAAAACTCAAGTAGGTTTTTTTCATGGCATTCTTACGATACGGTTAAAGGATAAGTTTTTCAAAAATCATATAACTTACAGTCAGGAGCCGGTATTTAGGAAAAAAGGTGGTAAAATGTATTTGCTTGCACTTGAGGTTCCTGCTTTGTTTGTGATGCACTTGGTTTGCTCCCTATATATAAGAATGATAAAATACAGATACCAGATTTCCGAAAAAAATCATATTTTTGGATTGTTAAGAATTTCATTTGAAGTCGGTAGCATCCTAGTAAAATTATAAAACTTCCGATCCTATTTACATTCAGCACTTTTTAAAATTCAGGAGGTACTCAATTAAGTATATATAAAAGTCAGAAAGAAGTCACCCGTCACTTACCATTTTATGCACAAAAAAGGAATTATAGATACGCCTCTGAATCTGGTTGGAATTGCAATGTTAAATCCGATGCCAGGTGAAGGATGACGGCCCAGTCTCTACATTTTAAAACTAGAATTTGCAGTTCTCCGCTGAGGCTCTATAGATGCCAAAAATGTGTATCCCTACCAACAAAGTCTCATTGTTGGCCTTATAGCTGAAAGTTGGTTTTTTTTACTTTTATTTTTCAATTATTACGTCTGAAGTTTTTGGGGGATTACCAACTCTTCTCGGTTGTCTTTGCTTAATATGCACCGTATATTTTTTTCAACATTGTAAGTGATATTGTCTGTCTGTACTGTTACTACGTTGCTGTATGAAGTGTAATATAAATTACAGAATCTGATATTGTTTGTAGAACAATGCGATGCCTTGTCAGGATGTTCAGATGTTTCATAAATACATCGTATCTAAAAATGAACAGATCTTTACTACACCATAGACTTT